CATCTTCACTGCCTGCCCTTTCCTTTTTGGACAGTTGTGGTTGGTATTTTTGCATCATACTTTCTCAGGTCAGAAACAGGGCTATTCTCTGCTCTCCTAGCTTAATCTGAGAAAGTAATATTCCTTTCCTTCTTTTAGACACTGATTTTGTTCTGTGCTTTCTTTTCCAGCCCATCCCCTTTCCCCTATCCTCACATGCCTAGTCCCTTTTCTACTTACAACCCTTTTAATGAGGAGCATTGAAGTGTTCTTCATTATATACTCAATGACTATTCCAATTCTGATAGGAATTCTGAAAATTTTAACTCTACATTAGCCTGGTGACTTTCTGTTACATCAATCATGGCTCGTGCTCAAGGAAGACAGTCTATTTCTGGGTCTGGAGTACCTTCCCTGGACTGTCCTACACTACCCTACCCTTTCTCAGTTTGCTACTTCATTGGTTCTGCTGCTTCATTCCCCTTAGATTCCAGCAATCTCCACACTGACTGGAGGGAGATTTGGGTTAATCGTAAAGCAATTAGCCTTGGAACAGCAGATGTAGATCAACTGTCTACCTGGCTCTGCCTCTTCTGTGAATTCACTTATCTGTTTATTTTGGAACAATGTTTATGCACATAGAGGGTTACTATCTGGAGCTCATGTTGTTGCTTTGTTGTGAGGAAATGGTTGGGACAGAGAAAGTGTCTGTGCAAACTCCAAGATTTCAGTTCCTGGGAATGAAGGGATTTACTAGGTCTCCATTGTTAATATCTGAAGATCAGAAGGCCTTTCTTTGTTTGGAGACCCAGAGAGAATAAAAGGTTGGGTGAAGGGCCCTCAGGCTTGGCTCTGAGGTATATTCCTCCAGCTGTTTTCAGATATGACTTTTGGGGCTGATTGGGGTTGTGACCACAGAGAGAGTCTCAGAAATGCTGTTGCCACTGTTGTTATTACCCCATGGATGAAGGGTCATTTGTTCTGAAGGCGCTGGTTCCATCGGGCTTTGCGATTCCCCTGTCTCCACATTGTGCTTTGAAGGTCTCTTTGCGTAGAAAAATACAGGCCCGTGTCCACTGCAAAGAGCAGACTCATCATCAGGTTGAAAGTGATTTCGTACCAAGGTGGAAATTGTATGATGGATGGAATTTCCAGGCCTAGTAGCAGAGGAAGAACGATTTTTAAAAAAGAAAAAAAAAATTAAGATAAAAGTCTGGAATAAGGTCCTCAGTGACAAACCATCCTAAGACCTCCCAATAGACAAGTTCTAGGGAATGGTGGGGGAGCGGGGAGCTTTGCTTCTTCTAATTTCTTCACTAGCGCTGCTTGGGCAGAGTACAACCTATCAGACATTTAGCATAAGCTTGTTCTTGTCTGGTGCAGAGATATGACAGTGAGAGCTGAACAAGCAAGGTTGTATGTGGGTCTTGTGTGAAATCATGAAACTTGCCAAAGTTTAAGTTTGGGTAACACCAACAATCTTTATGAGTGGTTTATAGAGTTTGAATCACCAACTTTTAGGTTAAAGGCCAATCACAAACTGCTTGTGCCACCCAGACTTTGTTGTTGTTACGTACCATTGAGTCGGTTCCGACTCATAGGGACTCTGTATAGAGTTTCCAAGGAGTGGCTGGTGAGTTTGAACTGCCAACCTCGCAGTTCAAGCCAAACTTGGGGTTCAGTGCATTAAGAGGTCATAAAAGGACAAAATGTCAGTTCATCTTTGTTATAGATGATCTAAATTGTAATGAAATCAGTTTTAATGCAAAGTATGATTTTAATTTGTTAAAGTCTCAAAAAGAGACTGCCTTAACCAAACACAAACAACAACAAAAAATCCAAACCCAAAGAATAAATTGAAGTTCAGGGAGACTAAGTGGCTCACTCACAGTCACACATTTAGTTAGCAGCAAGTCAGAACCTGGGTTCTGGACCTTCTTATGAGAATGTGAGTTCCTCTCAGTTTGACTTTTGACTAAGACTTGAAGATTGGAAGGAAAATGAGGGCAGGTAAAGAAGGGCCCGCATGACAGGGACACATAACATCGCTGGTATGATTTCAGTGGGGTAAAGACAGGTTATTTATTGAGGAGGAAATAATGATTTTTGCCTCTGTTGTTACAGAGTAAATGATACCTCTAAACTACCCCTAAAGCATAGGTTGAAGCAGAACTCAAATCTACCCAGCAACCAGGGGACTCCAAGGGTTTCTGCTGGTCACCAGGAAGGGGCCTGATATAAAGAAGTTCATAGAACAAATAGTAATCCCCTCCCCCACTCACCCTCCAGTGTGAGTGAAAGCCACACAAAGGGTCAGGGCTCTCTAAGGCTGTTCATCTCTCACCTTGAACAGTAATGTTTATAGTCTCTGAAGACGTATTTAAAGTCCCAATAAGCCCCCTGCAGAAGTAAGAGCCACTGTGATTGTGTGTTGCGTTGAGAATCTGGAAGATGGAATTCTGATGAAAATACTTCTGGCTTCTGCCATTCTGGTGATATGTGACTTTGTACACAGTTTTGTTTCTCCAGCTGTTGCACCTTAGGCTAATGGTATCCCCCTCCTGGAACACAGACTTAACAGCCTGAAGCAGCAGCCATCCTGAAAGACATGGCCTTACCTCTCAGCACAGTGCCCTTGTGAGAGGAACTTTTAATCTCCCACCAGTCCCTCCCTAATCCCCACCCCACCAGTGTAGGTCCTGAGGAAAATGGCAAGCCACACTGAGAGCCATTCCTGCACAGTTTCCTTTGGGAAAAAGCCAAGTGGGACCTGTATGACAACTCAAATCACACCAAGACCTTTTGTCTAATGCGGAAGAGAGAGAGATATATACATGAGCCAAACATGATCATGGAGAGATGATTGTTTTACTAGCATACGATTATGTTTGATATATAGTCTGGTTTGGGGGGAACATTCTTGTTTGGGAGGGCATTCTGTCCTGACAAGGATTCAATGCATGTCCATATGTCCATTCACCCAAACTATGCCAACCATTATGCAGACTTGAGAACCCTGATGACTGGACACATGGTTCACAGCTTCAAAGAATCTACAATCTAAACATGGGAACACATAGACTCAGAAATAATTTCAATACAATATGTGAGAGCTACAGGAATAAAGGACTGCAGGGTCAAAGAGAATGAAATAAAGGAATTCGACTTGAAGAAAGTAAAGTGGAGGAGATAAATGAAATGGATACTAAAGGATGAGCAAGATTTTGCCTGGTGAATCTAATACTTATGGTCACTGTTTAATACAGTCCTCTTTGAGCAGACTATTAAAGCTAGTTTCTAGAGGCAAGTTCAAGGCAAACTATTAATTCTCAAGCTTGAAGCTTTTATGGCTTTCTGATGGTAATTCCCCATTTACTAGGTGGTCATCTCTCTAGATATTAGACATTCCTCCTTGGAGTCCTGGTGTGGTGCGGTGGGTTAATGTACTAGACTGCAAAGTTGGTGTGAACCACAAGGTCAGTGGTTCATATTCACCACTCACTCCTTGGAAACCCTGTCCAGGGTTTCTATGGGTCGGAATCGACTCAACGGCCACTTAACAACAACAACAACCTGGCAGGGTAAGGACCATGCCACAAGATCAACCCCTGAAGTCTGTGCAATTCCATGGAACCCTGCTGCAGGTTCAACCCTGTTAGGATCTCCTTCTCCTCCAGGCATGTTCCACCCATATACATTGTACAAATGGGACACCCAAAGTATGATTTGGAATTAGAATCGGATTTGCAAGGTGACAATGCAGGTACCAGACTATGGAGTGTGATTTCAGGGATACCAGAAAAAATCCCTGCCTCAAAAATACTTCCCCTACCTGTAGTCTAGTGATGCTACAAGGAGCTCTGATAGCGTAGTAGTTATGAGTTGGGCTGCTAACCTCAAGGTCAGCAGTTTGAAACTACCAGCCATTCTGTGGGGAAAAGATGAGGGGTTCTGCTCCCCTAAAGATGTGTAGCCTCTGAAACCCTATACAGGATCACTATGAGTCGGAACCGACTCCACAGTACACTACCACCACCACCTGTCCCTGATGCCTGGACTCTGTTAACAGTTCACAAAATTTTGATTCCATAATTAATGTACAGGTTGAACATGTCTATACTGTTGGGAGAGGTATTACATTAGTAAATGTATGCTAAAGTGTAAGTGACTGTTTCAGAGTGACACTGATGAAGAGAGAGAGTAGATGTGGCACTAGCTGAGTTGGGATGATTTGGGAACTAGTTTAGGGTATAATGTATTTTGAGATCTGTAGAAACAGATTCATTAATTTAGTCAAAATTTATTGAGCAGCTATTCTGTGCCTTGACCTTCAGACGATAACATTCACATTGTAAGCATTTTACATGAGTGACAAGTCCTGGACTTGTGTAATGCAACAGCCCCACTTCTATTATGTTGCAAGCTTTGAAATTTTGCCAAAGGCCTACAGTACAGCCAGGGTTACGACTCGGATACCTTTCAGTGACACCAGAGCTCACCTCATCTTGGCTTTAACCCCAAAGAAATCACCTTATGGCTTTTTCCAAGTTCTTTAAGGCCCCTTGTTCCATACTTTCTGAGTGATTTCCCTCTTCCCCTTTATGGACTCACCAGTGTGGACTTCCAGCTGCACCGGGTCACTACGTGCGGTGAGGTCTGTCTGACACCTGTACTCTCCACTGTCCTCAATTCTAGCAGCTGAAATTAAGTAGCTGGAGGTCTGGTTTGAGATGAGGTTCCCATTGTGCCACCACTGTGTAGAATTGTCCCCAAATTTGTAGGACCCCTGGCACTTCAGAGTCACTCTGTCTTCACTGAGTACGCTGTACCATGGTGGGTCTAGGGATACCACAGCCTTTAGGGGATCTGCTGAAGAACCAAGAAAATGTGGGATGAGGCTAAGGGGAGAAATAGGCCTGTCATTGGTGTTTCAAGGAAAGCTCTAAGCTAAAATAAGCCCTTTGGAAACCCACAGCGAGTAACTCAGACTCAGTGTGTAACTTAATCTTAGAACATTCTGGAAACTTGGAAGCAATTGCCCCATTTTTTTACCTGTTCTGGATCTTGGGGAAGACTAGCCAGAGGAGCAGAAGGACAAGCCCCACAGTATTAGGAAACAGTCCCTGAAAACTTCACATTAGCAATTTCCCATGCAATGGGCATTTCCCAATATCCTGTGACTGCTTCACCCCCAAACCCGGAAACACACACAAACACGCAAAATCCAAACCCATTACCAACAAGTCTATTCCGACTCATAGCAAACCTATAGGACAGGGTAGAACTGCCCCAGGGAGTTTCCTAAACTGTCATCTTTACTGAAGCAGACTGCCATATCTTTCTCCTGAGGAGAGGCTGGTGGGCGATAAAAATCGCCAACCTTTGTTAGTAGCTGAGCACTTAACCGCTGTGCCACCAGTTGTACTCTATGGGTCTGAATTCATCAATCTGAGACCAGGAAGCAAACTCACCAGCTTGGAGGCCCGCTGAAACTGCAAAATTAAAAAAAAAGAGAGAGAAAGTAAAATATTGAGTAGGAGCAGTTGTCAGGGTAACTGGAATGTGGAGTACGTTTGAACTCCCCTCTAACATTTGTCCTGGGAGCCTAATATACCCTTGAATCAATGTATTTAAACTGGATAACTTTCCTGCTGTCCCCTAGTCTTCAATGTCCATACCCCACTGCCCACCCAAGTCCCTATTTTCAACATCGTTCCTTTATTAATTGATCCATGTTTAAACTCACAAATTAAGGGTACAGGTTGAATTTTCCTGAACAACCTCAACCCAATATCCCTGGAAAAGTAGGTATTAAAAGTCATAGGAGGGAAACTCTGGGATGTCAGAATGGTGGAAGAAACAGATCTTAGGGACAGTTAGTTCACACTCTTCAATTTACAGTAGCTAAGTGGTTCTAATGTGGTGCTGTGGGTTAAGGCGCTGGACTGCAAGGTAGGTTGGGATCGCAAGGTTGATGGTTCAAGCTCACCAGCCATTTCTCAGAAACCCTATATAGGGTCGCTATGAGTTGGAACCAACTTGTGGGCACTTAACAACAAGAAGGTGGTCCTGGTGTGATACTGTATGACAAGCAAGGTCAGCAGTTCAGATCCACCAGCCTTTTTTCAGGAATCCAATACAGGGTCGCTCTGAGTCAGAATTGACTCTACGGCACTGAACAACAACAACTAGCCAGTTCAAGTGGTTTGCGATCGATTGTTGAAAAAATCCTATTGAGCTGTTGTTCTACTCTTTAACACATGGGGTTGTCAGGAGTCGGGGCAGCTAACAACAACAATTTCAGTTTATAGCTAATTATAACTGTAATCCACAGGAGTTATAGGCAGTTTATAGATAAGGAAACCGATACCCAGAAAGATGAAGTCCCTGAGACCTCACAGTATCCCTTTACCTCCTGATTATGCCAAATTAGACCCATAGTTCTCCTCTCAGTCACTATCAACTAAATCCAGACTATAGACATGGAAAGGAGTCCCATACTTCTTGGAGGTCCCACCCCTGGCCTGAAAAGAGGTCTCTGTTGAACCCAGGCCACCTTGAACTTCTCCCTCAGCCAGGCTGACTCTGACTTACCTACAAGTAGTAGAGCTGTTGGTGGCAGCAGCTGCCACATTCTGCTGCATTAGAGTGGATGAATAACCACACCTATCTGGATGGAGCCCTAAGAAGACTAAATTAGCTAGAAAAGAGGAAATAAACAAAGTCAACAGCCTTCTCCCTCCCCTACCCAGCCCCTCCCAGCCCAGTCCATTCATCAGTTTCCTTTTTCTGAAACATCATCTAATTCCTGAATTTGAATTCTGACAAGTGAACCCCATAATAGGAAAGAGCCTGCCAGACAAGCTGAGTCTCTGCTTCCTTTTACTCTATAAAGGTCTCCTGCTAAGCATCTGGAGACTTGAATATAGACAGGTTCTGCCAGAAGGTACCTTCAGAAATCCCAGGATGTTTGTCCCTGCCTCCTGAGTTTGGACTTATCCAGTGCCAAGAATAAGGGAGCATGAGACCAAAGACAGAAAGTCCTTCCCTGAGGGGCTCCTCAATTCTACCTCAGATCTTCACACACACACATCCAGATGGTTGTCTTCTGCTTGTCCCAGACACATTTCCTTTCAGCCTCAGACCTGCCTGCAATGAAAGTGATATTTTAAAATCTTCAGATCACTAGAACTATTATTTCTACCAAGGATTTCTTTCAAAATTCAAAATGCATAGGCCCCTGATAGGTGTACTCCACAGGGGCCATTAATTTCTTTGTGTGAACTTGGGGGTGTGTGGTGGCTCTGTAGGATAAGCACTGGACTGCAAACCACAAGGTATGTGTTTCCAGCCCACTAGCTGCTCTGTAAAGATTTACAGCCCCGGAAACGCTATACAGGTCACTATGAGCACAAAGCAATTTGACAGGACTGTTAACCACAAGGTCGACAGTTCAAACCTACCAGCCTACCCTCAAAACCATATACAGGATCACTATGACATGGAACCAACTCAAAGGCACTTAAAAACAACAGCAATACCTTGTTTTTAGAAGAAACCCAGGCAGTAGGAGAGAGCCCCTGTAGAGAAGAGACCCCCATGGAAAGGCTAAAAAGCATTTTTAGAAGATATGGTGGAGGCTGCCTAAGCAAAGACAGAACTTGACCTTCATCACATGTTATCAGGATTGCTGGGCAACAGTAGCTCAGGTTAACTCTTTCAGGGACACAGGGCCTGGGCTGGTCTGTGAGGCCAGTAATTAGGGTTCTAGGGCTCCTTACCAGAAAACAAAGGAGCTCTGGTAGCATAGTGGTTATGAGTTGGGCTGCTAATCTCATAGTAATCAGTTCAAAACTACCAGTGGTTCCAATGGAGAAAGATGAGGTTTTCTGCTCCCATAAAGATTTGATACATTAAACACTAGAGACCCAAGACCAGAAGAGTTGTAGGATGACATCAAGAATATCATACAGGAAGAAAGCAAAAAGTTATTAAGAATACAAGAAAGAAGGAAAAGATCAAAATGGATGTCAGAAGAGACACTGAAACTTGCTCTCCAACGTAGAGATGCTGAAGAAAATGGAAGAAATGAGGAGGTACAAGAGCTGAACAGAAAATTTCAAAGATCAGCTTGAGAAGACAAAGTCAGATATTACAATGAAATGTGCAAATATTTGGAGTCAGAAAACCAAAAGGGAAGAACACACTCAACATTTCTCAAACTGGGGGAACTGAAGAAAATATTCAAGCCTTGACTTTCATTATTGAAGGATTTTCTGGGCAAATCATTGAATGATGCAGAAAACATCAAAAGAAGATGGAAGGAATACACAGGATTCCTTCCAACAAGGAAGGAATTCCTGTACCAAAAGGAAATGGTTGATGTTCAACCATTTCAAGAGGTAGCATATGATCAATAGCCAATGATACTTGAAGGAAGAAGTCTAAGGTGCATTGAAGAAATTGGCAAAGGCAAGAAAGTAAGGCAGAACTGGAGGCACTCACTCATCTCTGCCAAGAAATTTGAAAGACAATTATCTGGCCAACTGATTGAAAGAGATCTGTATTTTTGCCCATTTCAAAGACAGGTTACCCAACGGAATGTAGAAATCATCTGACAATATCTTTGAAATCTCCTGTGAGTAAAGTTTTACTAAAGATAATATGGAACCGGCTGCAAGCATTCACTGACAGAGAACTTCCAGAGGTTCAATCCGGATTCAGAAGAGGATGTGGAACAAGGATTATAATTGCTGATGTCCAATGGATCTTGGCTGAAAGCAGAAACTATCAGAAAGATGCTTACCTGTGTTTTATTGACTATGCGAAGGCCTTCGATTGTGTGGATCATGACAAGCTATGGACAACACTGAGAAGCATGAGTATTCCAGAACACTTAATTGCGCTCATGAGGAATCTGCACATGGACCAAGAAGCAGTTGTTCAAACAGAACATGGGAACACTGAATGGTTTCAAATTAAGAAAGCTGTGCGACAACGTTGTATTCTTTCACCATACTTATTCAACCTGTATGCTGAACAAATAATCCGAGAAGCTGGGTTCTATGAAGAAAAATGTGGCATCAGGATTGGAGGAAGACTCATTAACAACCTGCGATATGCAGATGATACAACCTTGCTTGCTGAAAGTGAAGAGGACTTAAAATACTTACTGATGAAGATCAAAGATCATAGCCTCGGTTTGGACTGCATCTCAATGTAAAGAAAACAAAAATCCTCATCAAAGGACCAATAAACAACATTATTATCAACAGAGAAAAGATTGAAGTTGTCAAGGACTTCATTCTTCTTGGATCAACCATCAACACTCATGGAAGCAGCAGTCAAGAAATCAAACAACATATTGCACTAGGCAAATCTGCTGCACAAGATCTTTCTAAAGTGTTGAAGAGCAGAGATGTCAGCTTGAGGACTAAGGTGCGCCTGACCCAAGCCATGGTGTTTTCAATACCCTCATATGCATGTGAAAGTTGGACAGTGAATAAGAAGACTGTAGAAGAATTGATGCTTTTGAGTTATGGTGTTGGAGGAGAATATTGAAAATGTCATGGGCTGCCTAAAGAACCAACACATCTGTGTTGGAAGAAGTGCAGCCAGAGTGCTCCTTGGAAGCTAGTATGGACAAATTTCGTCTCTCAGACTTTGGACATATTGTCAGGAGGGAACAGTGGCTGGAGAAGGATATCATGTTTGGTAAGGTGGAGAGTCAGAGAAGAAGAGGAAGACCCCCAGAGAGATGGATTGGCAAAGTGGCAGAATCAATGGGCTCATGCATGGCAACAATTGTGAGGTTGGCCCAGGACCAGGCAGTGTTTCGCTCTGTTGTGCATAGGGTCGCTATGAGTCAGTACTTTGTTGTAACAACAAAGATTTACAACCTTGGTGTGCTTGACATCTTTTTTTTTTTTTTTTAACACTAGCTACTGTCAGCTTTATTTTGTGTGTTCATTATTTCTATCCATAAACAGCATTAATAAACAAGGCAGATGGTTTTGTGTCTTTATGTCCCCACGCATATAACTGTATCATATCCCTTTAGAACTGGATGGTGCATGTCCCTGATGAACAGCGCACGAGGGCCATCCTAGAGAAGCCTTTTCCATGCTCCAGTCTCCCGGACTTCGTGTCACCATCATTTCTTCTTCAATTCACAGCACAGTCCTAACTTCTTGTTTCGGTTGTGGTCCTGCATCTTGCAGAGTCTAATGTGTCAAGTTGGTCTGTCCCCACGGGACTCACAGTCTCCTCCAGCCAGTTCCTCATCTCACATGACCCCTGCTATCTCTGTTCATCTTGTTCCTTCCAGTCACGCAAGCTCATAGCCTAGGCTTTTAGTGGTCATAAATCAGAGGGCATGATGAACTCATACCAAATAACAGGCACCATATGGGTTTTACAAACCCTTGCGTATTTGTTTACTATGCATGTTATACATGTACACATTATTTACATAGGGTGAGCTCATGGTAGACAGCAAATTTGTTGTCTTTTCTCCCTACCACAACAACTTCCTCCATCACTTTATGCTCATGCCCGATTACTATGCCAACTATAATACATAAGACCGGTACTTAAATTAGTTAGAAATAAAATCTTGAAGCAACTTGGCTAGAAACGGCCCTGTGTCGCTTCAACAATCTAGGAGCCTCACATCTCCTTGTAATCACACTTCCACTGTAGTCTGGGAAGGGGATCCAGAACCTCTGAGGCACGTGCCTCAAGTGCAATGCTCTGGTGAGGAACACAGAACCTAGCTCATGAAGAGAACCCTCCTCAAGCTTTTCCTGAGAGGCTAAAGGAAACATTAGAATAGATGGGCAGCATCAATTAGGGCAACCTCCAGAATTATATAACCGAGTATTAGCAAAAAAACAAAAACAAAAACAACAACCCCAAAACCCCCAAACCCCATGATCTAACACTTTATATTTTCAAATGATGTCCTCATCCAGTTTTGTTTATAAAATGAATTGGAAATGTCATTAGGTCACCTAAATGTTATGTTCTAGATGTAACTAAGAGGTAGTCTCCCTTTCGGAAGTGGCTACTCTAGTGATTTGAGGAGTCAGCAGGACACCTCTAGACCCATTCTCCACAGTATCCCCCTCCAATGGCTTCCCACAGCGCACAGCCCCAAACTCTAAGTCCTGGTCTCAGCCCACAGGGCCTGCTGCCGTGGCTCAGGACTACTTTTCATCTCAACATCTACCAAGCCTCCCTGTAGCTGGCCCATCTTGGTGGCTTCATCCTCAGCTTAAATGTTACCTCCTCAAGGAGGCCTCCCCTGATGCCTCTGGCAGCCGCCACGTCCAGGTGTGCTTGACATCTTTGTTCTTGAACACTTTAAAGAGGTCTTATGCAGCAGATTTGCCTAATGCAATACATTGTTTGATTTCTTGACTGCTGCTTCTATGAGTGTTGATGGTGGATCTAAGCAAAATGAAATCTTTGGCAACTTCAATCTTTTCTCCATTTCTCATGATGTTATTTACTGGTCCAGTGGTGAGGATTTTTGCTTTTTTTTACACTTAGGTGCAAAAGTTGTGGTCTTTGATCTTCATCATTAAGTATTTAAGTTCTTTTGGCGTTCAGCAAGCAAGGTTGTATCATCAGCATCACAGGTTGTTAATGAGTCTTCCTCCAATCCTAATACCACATTCTTCTTCATATAATCCAGCTTCTTGGATTATTTGCT